CCCAGAGAGACCTTGTTTCCCCTAGTGCCCCCTGGCATAACAAGGAATAATGGACACAAGTTGTTGGAGAGTAGGTTTAGATTAGACATCCGCAGGAACTACTTCACAGTTAGGGCGGCTAGGATCTGGAAGCAGCTTCCAAGGGAAGTGGTGCTGGCTCCTACCCTGGGGTCTTTAAGAAGAGGCTTGATGCCTACCTGGTTGGACTCATTTGAGTCCAGTTTTTCTCCTGCCCAGGCGGGGGGTCAGACTTGAAGATGTACAAGGTCCCTTCCGACCCCACTTCTATGATTCCGTAGTGTCTTGAAATTGAATGTGGGGAGGTCTGTATCATTCAACACAACCTACTTCCTGAGACCTCACTGAATTCATACCTAAAGCCACTTGTGCAGACAGAAATTACATTTGTTGCATGAACGGGCCCTTGAAAGCACTCTAGAGCCATATCCTAACAAAAGTGCACAGCTGCAGAGTGTTTTAAAAGTCCCCAATGGCATGACAAACTAATCCTAGTTATATGAGGGTTCAGTTGAAGGCGCACCAAAGCAGAGCACTTTCATTAACTTCCGTCTGATCAGGCAGCTGGGCTGATGCAGCCCAGCTCTACCCCCAGTGTTGTCTGCCTGATGGGAGGGAGTTCGGGTTGGGGTTTGCCCGGCCTGTGCTAGAAGGAGGGGCAGGTGGATTGGAGTCCCCCTGAGGCAGGGGGACTCCAATCCACCTGCCCCCACTCCAGTGTAGGCTGGACAGACCCCAGCCTAAGCTCCCTTCCCTCCCTGCTCTCATCCTGCAGACAGTACTGGAGCTGGGGGGAGGGAGACAGGGCTAGAAGAGAGAAACGGAAGACACATAGCTGTTTGGCTGGATCAGATCCAAATTGAAGCATGATCCCGCCCCACCCTCCTAATCCAACAGCAAATGTTTTTGGGGTCAGGAGGGTCAGTTTAACTAATGATGCTTTCTGAGAAGTGCCATGATTTAGACTGGGGAGCTGCACATTTGTCAGCACACACAGGTGCAATTTTTATTCCAAATCAAATATTGTTTTAAACTGGAAGTGCAGCAAAGTCTCCCACTGCTGTTTCAAATCTGAAAATCTTGCAAGCTTCACTTCACCTAAGAATTTAATTACAATGAGAATTCCCAAATTCCTTCCTGTCCACAGTAGCATGCAAACTGTAAACACAGCGAGAGACTTAATAAACTTATAAACTCACTTTTCCATTCAACGTAGCTTAAGACCCCCCAAACCACTCTTCTCTTAAAAGGCTGGAAATTATTTTGTACCAGTTGTGTTCCATCTCCTGAAGTGATCTGGAGATTCCGCTATAGGACCATCCATCCTTATCTCTTACCAGGATGCTCAACTCCAAACCCTGCAGCGCATATTGTATTTCGTTTGCAGCCATCCCACGCATCATCCCAGTGGTATCCTGCACGGCATGCACATTGCCGTTGGAATGTCCTGTTGCCTGGATTCACTTCTTCTAAACCTTTCCCTAAATGACAGAGCAGATGGAAGTAAAAATTGTTCAACTGGCTGTGGATTTTTAACTGCACTCCTCATGCTTCTTCAATGCCTGGTGCAAAATAACTATTTTGTGGGAGCTGTATCATCCTTTGAAAAGCTCTGGAGATATTGGCAGGGACAAGGCTCCTCACTGTGCCAACTCAAAGTGGCATCTTTGCTAGGAGCCTAAAGATGCTTGAATTGGGGGGCCGAGATGCCCATACCTTGTGGTGGGCAGAGACGCATCTCTACATGCCAGCCCCCACAGCAAATAGCAGTGGAAATTAATCTACTAGTGGTGGTATAAGAATTGTGACAGATTTTCAAAGGAACCAAAGGGGTATAAGCTCTTTTTTTCCATCCCCCATGGGGTACCAATTTGCATTAAAAGATTCACAATGCCTCTGTATGAACAACTCACCTTTATCACATATTTTATGAAGTAAACATTTGTCCTCCTCATTCCAGGTGTCCATATACTCATTTGGACCACAAGGCTGGCATGCTGTCTCAGAAGTGGCAGTGCATTTAGCAGACATATACTTTCCTGAGGAGAGGAGGAAAAAAGTTAAACCACTTACTAGTCAGTGAAGGGTCTCTAAAGAATACAGACCACACTACACTATTGGAATTAACATTCAAACTGGGAAAGTTATTATTCCAAATTCCTCACCAAGTCTCAACTTAGTGTAGTACTTAAACACCAGAATAACTTTCCCTGTCCTTTGTATTACTTATCCTTTTCCCTATCCTTCCTATTTAAATTACTTGGTTCCTTTCTACAGCATTTAGTACCCCTACTCCATGCAAGTCCATTCACAGCATCTGGTTAAGTAGCTTGTAGCCTACAAAAGCTCATAACCCTCTGACCCAGTTAGTTTATGAATTCCTACCCTGCCCTGCCTTCTGCATAACTTTAAACACAAATGGTCCTATTGAAGTCTGTAAGAGTTGAGTCCAAGAGGAGACCTCTATAGAATGCTCCAAAATGCAAAATCTCTTGTACAGTGTTATTTTGAAGTGTCTGTATCCAGATCTCAGTCTGTTCAGCCTGACCCATGCTTCCCTGTCAAGGTCATGCCCAATGGGGAACTTGTTTGGTGTTGGTATAAAATGCTGTAGGAATAGGTCTGGCCTTTCCCAGCAGTTGGAGCACACTGTTGCTGCCCATAGGTTTGGTTCAGCGTCCCCAATCTCTTCCAGGAGCTTGTGGGCTTCATGTACAAATGGTTTGACTTTTGAGCATCTTAAGCTTCTAGATCTGCTTGGGTTTTCAGTTAACAGTTGACAGAGCAGGTAATTTTCATCATCTCTTGCCTCTATTGCCAGTAATGATATTAGGGTCTTCCTTTTTGTATCATTTGGCCTAATGACAGAGTACAGGGAGTACATCCCTCTCTGTGTAAGTTGTGTAACCTGTTATAAGTCTCAGTGCACCATTAAGCAGTGTTGAGCTTTTTCGTGTGACAACTTCTGGACCATAAAGGCATAGAGTGTTCTGCTGGGGCATATACCATTGCAAGTGATGGGGCTCTGAGCACTTTAAAGTTGGCACCCTATGTTGTGCTGGCTAAACAATCTTAAGGCACCTACTTGTGCAGAGACTTTACTGCTGACCTTCTGAATGTGAAGTTTGTATGTGAGGGAACACTTTAATGCAACTTCTAGGTAGGTTGGGGTATGCTCATGGGGAAGGATGTGGTTGCCTACTCTAATATTCAGCATGCTTTTGACTTAACAATTGTCCAGATGGAAGAATGAAGATACCAATTTATTGATGCTCAACTTTAAGCACCACTTGTGGAGATGGTCAGTGATGAGTTTCATATCAGCACTTAGTGTCTTTTCCAGTTCTGTCACATTTATTCCTTGGTCTACTATGGCAACACCATCGGTGTACACGTATCACTTAAATCTTGTGTGCAGTAAGTCTGAGGTATATACTAGGGCTGTGCAGAGCAGGTAATATTCGATTCGACAGCCATATCAAATATTAAACCAGGTCCCGCTTCGATTTGCCATCCGCTTCAAGTTGAAGCGGGTCCGCTTTGATTTGAGGTCAAAGCTCAGTCGAATATTGGAGCTGCTTCGACTTTCCCATCGGCTATAATGGGGAAGGTCGAAGCAGGCTATGGTATTTCTTGTCTGATCTTGATGAAACGTGCAGAAATGGTAGCTCCTAAGATGCCCACAAAGCATGCCATGTTTCAACAAGATAGGTTCAGGGGGTGCAGAGAAACAGCACCCCAAATTCTTGAGAGAAAACCTCCT